TATCGTAAGGACCCCTGAATAAGGTACCCTTGATTTCCGCAAACTCCCATTTATAGAAGCTCAGAAGCCGATGTTCCAAACAGGTTGGGTATTGGAGACAAATGCAACATGCACAAGGGTTTAGGCTTTAGGGTTTAGGGGTTTAGGGATACGGGTTCAAGCATCTGATGATCATGTTTACAGGAAGGCCCACTAAGGAGGCACCCTGCGTCCACCCTAAATGCCAAGCCCTAACACCTAAACTGGTGCTGCTTCAGGGATGGACGGCAAAGCCCAAGTGTTGAACCGAACCATCCCCCATGTCGCAAACCCAAAGCCCAGGAAGGCGGATGTCAGAAAACCGCAAATCTAGAAACCGTACGCGGAGGACGGATCGTAACTTCAACGTTCTAGACAAACAACGGAAATAGAGTCCAAGAGCTCCGACGTCTCTAAGAAATGTAGGAACCTGATTAAGAACCCTTGGGCCTTCATTGGGGCTCCTTCTATGCATCCTACCATTATTGGGGTTACAGGCCCAGGGTGTCTTAATCATCAGAATCCCAAGCTTTCAAAGCCGAAGCCACGAAGCCTCAGTGTTTCTAGAACCTGGACTCCGTCCAGTCCTACGGAGGTCCCAGAAAATTGGAATCTTCATACCTCAAGCGTTAAAGGGCGTTGAAGCCCTAAACCAAAAGGGTCCAAGTACCATTATAGTAGGTACTTAGTAGGTATTTGGGCCCTAAAAGTATAAATTAGACCATTACTTGGACCCTTTGGGAAGCCCAAAAAGCTACTCAAGCAAACACCATACTGCCCTGCAACACCTGTATCCTTTAACAGATCTTCCTGAGGCCAGAAAACAGCGGTCACACAAAGAAGCCAAGGCTGTAGTAACCCACAGGGAAATCGCAGATGCATTGTTTAGACTAGTTCTATATACCAGAAACGCAGATGCAAAAGCAAATTAAGACAAGGATACCAGAACCCCAAACCCTACACCTAGAGCCAAGGCCACAGCTTCGGCGTCTCCATTCCTCCATCTCCGCTTGAAACGTCTGCGCGAAATGAAGGGGATCGGGGGCTTTGCTCTTTCTCAATGCTAGTACTATTCAGCATATGGGGGGTTGTCAAAATTAAGGCCCCTTTTGGGGTGCCCTAAATATTGGGTGCCGTATTTTGTTAGGGACCCAAAAGGGGACCATAATCTTGACAGCCACCCATGCGGTTTCCTTGAGCTCCAAGCATGCAACTAATACCTACTTTGGGCATTAAAGTCTATAATTAAATAGTACCTACTTTGGGCTGTTTGGAGCCCCAGGGTTTGGGTTGTTGGGGATTTGATATTAAAGTATAGACAAGGAGCCCTCGGGAATAATATTGCCAATTTTTAAGGCATCATTTCTACCTATGTTAAGGGTCTTGTTCTTTTGTCAACCCTGCGGGTCTTTGTGCCCAAATAGCTGTCTACTTCGGGCCCCAAGTACCCATATACCCTCAGGGTAGGGATCATAGCTTATTAGTTGTAGGGTTTGGGCTACAGGGAGGCTTGTGTTCAGGGTGAGTTTAGGGGGCGGGGGCTCTTTAGCCCGGGTTTTGGGCCTTAGGGTTTGGCGGCCAAGGTCTGACACTGGGAGGCTTGGCGAAAGTGGAGTTCGTGTACCTGAAATCTACACCGAAGGGTCCATGTACCTGTCGAGTATTTGCGTAGGCTTCGGCATTTTATAGTGTTAGTGTTCATGTATGGTACATTTTAAGCATATACTACGTTGGCCCCAAGGGTCCATGTACCCAAATAGTATATACTTGGGGACATGGACCCTTAGGGTGGTACATGGACCTATAGTGTAAGGATCTGACAAGCACGCCACGTCTGCCAGGCTTACGGCTGCAGATGCATGTGGATGGCTTCGCGATCAGGCAAGGGATATACAGCTTATGCCGCCTGGCGAAGTATAAGATAAAGAAGTAATTATGTACAGAAGCGTATGTGGGTGTGTATATGTACAGGTATGTGTATATATATATATATATATGCATATGTATATGTATATACATACGGATGCAGCATGTGTGTGTATATATATATATATACACATACATACATACATACATACATACATACATACATACATACATACATACATACATACATATACATATAAATATATGTATATATTGTACATACCTATGCGTGCATGTGCCTGTGCGCGTGTGTGTTTGCGTGCTATCTCTCCCTCTCTGTCTATATATATATATATATATGTATGTACGTACGTATGTATGTATGTGGTCCGACACAGAGAGGGAGAGAGACAGAGAGAGAGAGAGAGAGAGAGAGAGAGAGAGAGAGAGAAAAAAAAAGAGAGAGAGAGAGAGAGAGAGAGAGAGAGAAAGCGAGAGAGAGAAAGAGAGAGAGAGAAAAAACATGTGCGTATGCCGGTACGAGCACCACCACATGCGCAAGTGGTAAATCCCACGGATACACCCTAAAACGGTTTAGGCTGGTAGGTTTAGAGTTGAAAAAACGGGGTTTCCATGTTGTAGGTTTGGTGTCTGTCACGCTGGATCGTAGCTCGCTTTTTCATGGCTGCAAAATGCATGGAAGTCCGTGGACCTCCTCCGGCGGACCGATCCGCCTCTACCCAAATCACGATGCAAACCAATCCCTAAACACTAGTTTTTTTTTTGCTTTATGGGCTCTTTTCCGCCTGCAGGTACAGTTAGAACTCCTATACTAGAAGGAGCCTAGTGTTTATGAGTTTAGGTTTTAGGGTTTAGGGTTTTAGAGCTTAGGATCTTTACGGTTCATTGAAAAGGATCTTACACTTCCTGCAGTAAGGGAACCCGTAAAGGCACCTTTACGGGAGCCTCTAAACATACCTTCGCACTGCAAGCCTAAGTGGGCTCTTGTCAAGGAGCTGAATTCAAGCTACAACAACTTAGGGATGCTTTGAGGCTTCCTTTAAGGGTTCTATACAGAGCTAGGGTTTAGGAATTGAGCCTAAGGCTCCATGTACCGTGATACTGTATACCTAGGCCTTGAAGCACCTTTACACGAACCCCTTCGAATACGTATATACTATTAAAACTACATGGAGTCTTAGGGCAAAAAAAAGATCTACAGCAAATCCTACGGCTTCGTGGCTGTGGCATCTTACATTAATCGAAGAATAACCCAAGCCAATCTCAGCCCGAAGCCGTAAGTCCTCCTAAGCCACCGTAAAAAAAAAAACCCAACCCTTAAAACCTCAGACCCTGAACCCTGGGTCCTGAACTCCGCGATTTCGGGCAAAAGCAGATCGAGGCACAGTTCGCTGCTTAGCAGGTGCCGAAAGCCCCGGAGGGGGCGAACTCACAGGACAGCTTTGGAAGAATATTTTAGGGTTCAGGGCTTTGGATTTACGGTTGAGAGTTTAGGGTTTCGGATGTAGCGTTTAGGATTTTGGAATTAAGGTTTAGGGGTCCAGGTCTTAGGATCGTTTTTGCTGTGAGGCCGTTACGCCTTATGCTGCTACTCTCACTTCCACCGCCACTGCCTCTTCCTCTGCCCCAGTGCTACTGCTACTGCTGCTACACCCTAAACACTAAAGCTTAGCAGCAAACCCTACCTGGACCCTACCACACCCGCCATTTTTAGGGTTCCCTAGTATGATTTCCCTTATCATAAAAAGATAGGTTCTTTGGGGTGAAGGTAAACCCTAAACCCTAACCCCTAAACCCTAAACAGTATCCTCCAGCCACGCTTCTGGAGAGGCCCCTTAAGGCACCCGAAGCGGATGGAGCGCAAGCGATGCGAGCCGTCTCAGCAGGCTAAGGTCAGGCTCCGTACAGGGCTCCATTAAGGGCTCTTAAGGCTTCCTTTAAGGAACCGGATAACCGAGGGCTTCTTTACCTTAAGGACGAAATGAACCCTAAAAGGGTTTAAGGTTCATATACCATATAGGGATTCATGGTATATGGGCATATATAGGGCCCCTACTCTTAAGGGTCATTTGGTCCTTCAGGTAAGGGTTCTCTATATGGTGAAAACCAGAAAGCTGGAACATAGAGGATGCGTAGTGCTGAGATCCCCTGTACCAAGGTTTATGGCTTTAGGGTTTAGGCTTGGGGGCTTCAGTGTTTATGGTTGGGGCCATCAGCTGAGAGGGCTGGCTTTCAAAAATGAGGAAACACAGACATCCCAGAGTGTCCGATTCACTAAGCAGTCGAAATTTCGGTCAGAGACACTCGATTCTGGATGAGTTCTGTGGTCTTTATACGTCTACTATTCGGGCACATGGACACTTAGGGAGATGCTTGATGCTTTGAGTCTCAAACAGGCTCAATAGTGCCAGAAGCAGCAGCAGACTCTTTGTCGCGTGCATGCCGCACGACAGCACTGTTTTCATGAAATTGGTTGTTGTTGTTGTTGTTGCTGCTGCTGCTATGGCTGATGGTGATGATAGCTCATGCTGCTTTTTCTTGACGATGACTTAGGGTTTAGGGCTTAGGGCTTCGGGTCTATAATATGGTGATGACCCAGGGCTTCTTGCAGTCGTGGCTGTGGTGGGTAAAATGTGGGAATTTCCGAAAATTCGGGGTACCTTATTTCGGGGTCCTTATAGTAAGGACCCTACTATTTAGGGTACCATGTTAGGGTCCCTTATTTTCGGAAACTCCCATGTGGCGCGATATGACTCGAATGACTCTCATGACATGGATGCGAAGCAACAGTCCGGCTCGCTGCCATCTTCCTCCAACAAAGTGTCGTGGGACTTCCCGACCTGGTTTTAGTCTAGTACTTCAGAAACCCCAAAGTCCCTAAACCTCATTGAAATTCTAGGATACCCAGTAACCTAAGAATAAAAAGGCCTCTCTTTTTGGTATTGGGTAACTTTATAAGGAACCTAGGACTACAAAAAGGGAATAAGGGTACTACTGGGCATCCTAGAATTTGAACGGAATCTTCATTTGACATTCGGAGAACCTTTCCGCGAGAAGTTCCCACTTAAAGTACCCAAAACCGGTCCAGCCCAGCCTCAGCGTGCGGGGCTAACGGACCTCTTGCCTTAGTTGCCGAGTTCACAAGCCGCAAAATAACAAAATCGTTCAGAAGAGCGGGAATGACACGAAGAACACCATAGAAATGATGATTTCATGCTTGCAAACCGAGGGACCTGGGGTACCCTGTGGCCACCCATTCAGCGAATACTTACCCCAGGGCTCCAAGTATGCAAATAATACCTACTTTGGGGTTTAAAGTCTATAAATAGAATCTGTTTATAGACTTAAACCCCAAAGTAGGTATTAAGTAGATAGTACCTACTTTGGGCTGTTTGGAGCCCCATTATGGCCTAAACTGACTGACTCTACAGGGACCGCCTCACAACTGGCGGCCTAAGGAGTACTAAATAAGAAAATATACCACATGAGACCCTACAAAGAACCCTATACTATGGAAAACCATCATAAGACTTCTTACTGACCGTCAACAAATCTTAAATCCACAAGGTCGCTCATAGGACCCGACAACAATCCTCTAAGACACACTTTCATGTAGGGGCCTTAATACTTAGAACAGGGTTTTGGGGCCCAAATTTACTATAAGTATAATGAGGAACCCCCCGAAATGGTATAGGTAACAATTTAGGCCCCTACCCTTATAGTATCCCTTATAGACCCCCTATTTAAGGAACCCTATAGGTAACTACTAAGGGCCCTATATCCTACATCCTTTTATGAAGCCCTCCTGCCATGGTCCCTGCAAAGCCCTAAAACCTGAAACTACTGGCTCACGAAAACAGCAAAACACAGACACACACGCACACACACACACACTCTCTCTCTCTCTCTCTATGTATACTGTATGTATATCTATATGTGTATTTGTTGATATATCTTGATACATTTATATCTACTGACATATAGATACCAACATTTAAGATTGCGAATATAACTATGAACGTACATATTTTCACGTTTACAGATTGTAGATCTGTTCATCTGTTCGTTCATACTACTTCCCAGATTGCTGATTCAGCACCGAAAAATGTATACTTACTGCCTCCCCCCTGCACATCAAAGCACAACTTAGAAGCTGCCCCCACCCTGTAATAGTGACTATAAGGATTATATTAGGGCCCTATTATATTCCTACTATACCACTATTACAGCGTGGGGGCCCCTTCGAAAGCACAACTTTTGCTAATTCTACGAAGTTGCTGCCGTGACGGGACTCCGGGTTCCGTCCTTGCGAGGACTCCCTGGAAGGCCCCTGAGAATGCCTTCGTTGCTGAGTTCAAAACTCTTACGGCTTCTTTAGAAGGTCTGAGGTTTAGGGGTTCAGGGTGGATTGCTTTGGGGGGTTTAGGATGGCTTTGGGGCTTACTCAGGGTAATATTACTCCACAAAGTGTAAAAAGTGCACCCAGTCAACTACCAAGATGCGCAGAATGCTTGGACCCGTGGCGGGAACTTCCTCGACCTTGGGTCGCTTCCAGAAGGAAGGCTTGAAGGTTTAGGGTTTATGCTGCAAGGTCAAGGGTTTAGGTTCAGGGTGTAGGGGCATCAAAAAATTGGCTTTTGTTTGAGGTAAAGGTTCAGGATCTGATGCGTCGGCTCTGGGCTGCAGGCTTAGGGATGTTCTGAGGGCTTTTTGGGTGTAGAGCCTGCTTATGGGTCTCTATAGCATCGATATATTGAACGGTTTTGTGTTGCAAGGTTCTGTTCTGCAACTGCTCCTTTAAGGCTTCTGTCAGGAGCTGTAAGGGTTTTGCAAGCGTGCTGTATGAAGCTTAGGGATTAGAGTTTTCGGTCCAGAAACGCTAACAGACTCATAGTTTGAGGCTTCTGGGCCCAAATGTAGGTGCCGTGGGCTGTCGATCCGTAGCCTTCGGGTCAAGGGTTTGCGGTCCGCGGTTTTGGGCGTGGGGAAAAACAGGGGCCCCGTAAACGATCGATAAACAATTAATGAATCTCCAAACTCTAAACCTTAAAGCCTCAAAGCCCTAAATGTAAGCCCTCAATCCTAGATCCAAAAACCTAAACGTCAGACCGACAGCTTATACAACCGAAAACCCTAAACCTCGTAATCGCACCCGAACCCGGATAGTTTATGCCATGCTACCATAAAAGTGACGGCTGAGCCACTTCTATGTAGACCTCTTTAGCATAAGCGTGCTTGGAACCAGAATCCACATTTGTTGATGAGCACCTGGAGTTTTGGTCACCTAAAGAGCTCCTAAGATGTAAAGATCTTTACAACTTACCCTAAACCCTAAAGCCCTAAACCCTAAACTCTAGACCCTAAACCTATAAACCCTGAAGCTCTAAACCCTAAACCCAAAAAATACAGAGGTCTCCAAAAGTGCCACCTGGTCGCTCGGATTGGGGCTCAGATGTCGGGAATCCGGCCTGTCTCCGACGGTTTCCTGGGAGCGACTGCTTTGGGGTTTAGGGTTTAGGGGTTTAGGGTTTAGGGGTTTAGGGTTTGGGGGCGTGCGGGGGGTTTAGGGTTTAGGGGTTTAGGGTTTGGGGATTTTGGATCAACAAATTGACAAACGGCCGCCCAGTTTAGGGTTCAGGGTTTGCGGCTTGAGCCCTTTTATGTATAATTTCACGGGTTTTGGGACAGGTCGAGGTTTCACGGTTTAGGGCTTCAGAGTTTCATAAGGTTCTCGTTCGTTAATGGTGTGGCCTATCGGGCTTTGTGTTTTCCGTGAAGTCTTCACGAATTCCTAAATGGCGTTTCGGCAGCAGGATCAGATATCACAGATCATGATGAATCAAGTTATTCAGACCCGTGTATCAGTTGAGAGAGTATTGTAATAATGTAAGCGGGCTACAGGAGGACGTGGTATGATATGACATGAGCATCAGTCAAGTTGTTCAGACCCGTGTATCAGCTTAGGGTGACAGGCTGGGGCTTAATGGCTTCGGGTTGTAAGGCTTTCCGGATCAAAGATGTCCCAGCTATGTATTTAGGCTCTCGATGTTGGGCTGGTCTATCAACAAGTTCTGCCTAAGCTTTCAGAACTGCTGTACCCGGGGGAGGGAAGGGTTTCTCAGGGGTTTTGAAGTTGGAGGAATCAGGGGCTGAACGTCGTCAACCCACCGGAGCCAGGTGAAGGTTTAAGGTTTGGGCCCTGATGATATGATTGGCTCAAGCATCAATGCTGATAACGCACAGGAAGCAGCTAGGTGTACGAAGTGTTCGCCAATCTTAACTTCCCCAACATAGCCCGAGAACCCGACATCCCTTTTGATCAAGGTACCTGTCCCCCTTGAAACGCTCTTGAAGGTTGCAATGAAGTTTCTTTAACGATTTCACATTCGTGTCGAGGATTTAATGATTCGAACGACCCAATGATTGGGTACTTCGGTTTAGGATCGTACGTACTACGTACAGGCTAGTATTTGGGGGAGAATTCATCTAGGCTGCTAAACCAGGAGGACAGTTCTCTCTTGAGCCAGAAGTCGAAGTTCAGAGGGGGCAGACTTTTTGAGGATTAGACACTCTTCAGCTCGGGACCTCAAGAAGATAATATAAGGGCCTGAGTAATTAGACTATGGTTTTGGGACAATTGTAGTAAGGAACCAACAAAATGGTATTGGTAACTATTGAGGCCGCTATACTACTTAAGCCTCTTAGCATTAAGGGTGTGGGAAGTTGTAAGACTTCATGGATATGCCCTTATCCCAAAACCCTAAACCCATAAAACTAAATCCTAAACCCAAAACCCTAAACCCAAAACCCTAAATCCTAAGCCCTGTCCCACCAAGTCTCCGAGTGTGCAGATGTCCTGCTGTGACGCCGCGACCCAATGTCCTCATCAACTCCCTCGAAAAGGGACTCGACCCTAAATCCCTGAACCCTGGACCCTAAACCCTCAACCCTAAACCCTGAAACCTAAACCTTAAACCCTGAACCCTAAATCCTCAACCCTAAACCCGAAACCCTCGAAAGGGGACACCTAGGATCCCACAACCTTAAGTCAACACCTTAGGCTCTAAACGATAAGCCCCTACAGCAGCCGTCTCAAAACTTCAAGGAACCCCTGATATACCCTTGGGCAGAATATAAGCTTCCTCGCTCCAAACCCATATTATTGGCTGCAAACATGGCCCAGAAAACCGCATCTGGGGAGCGGGTTGTGGGGCTGAACCCAGAGGGTCCAAAGTACCTTTCTAGTGGCATGTAGGGTTTCTATATTAGGAATTACTTTTATGATTTGGGGAAGTATCCCCCATAACAGTACTTGGGACCCTTTGGGGAAGACCTACACCCTCAACCTAACCCGAATGCGTAGAGATTGTTGCCTCGCGGGTCGGGTTTGTAACAATCCCTAAGGGACCATGTGCCCAAACAGTAGGTACTTTGGGGTGCAATGTACATAGGGAGTACTTTACAACCCAAAGTATATCCTATGTGGGTACCTGGACCTTTCTGGCGCTTAAGACTCCTACCTGGGGATCCAAAAACCTACCGTTTTAAGAGTCAGATCCTCTAATTAAGGGGTCATAACCTACTATTTTGTAGGGTTTGGGGATACAGGTATAGTTTGAGGTATATTCCTTAATTCAGGGATATTGGAGTCTCTGGGTTTAAGACCCATGGTCCGATGGTCGCCTGCTCCGGTTTTAAGAGTTTCGACTCAACCATACTAACAGGGTTGAGCACCGAACCGAGGGGTGGCTTTAGGGGCTCTTTGGGGTTTAGGGTTTGGAGTTTAGGGTTTTGGGTTTAGGGTTTAGGGTTTGGGGTTTAGGGTTTAGGGTTTGGATTTGACATGGTATGGCGGCATGACATAGCTCCGGTAGGAATCGAGAAGTGCATAGAAATGTCTGACCAGATCGGCCTCTGTCAGACGTGTGGCATCGAGCTGCGAAGCCTCATGTCGACAAGAACCCAGAGCCTCCAAAACCCCTTAATTAAGGAATATACCTTAAATTACAATAGGATCCCTAGTATAATTTAAGGTGCATTCCTTAATTAAGGGGTTTTGGAGGCTCTGGGAACGTGGCAAGGCCAAGGCAATGGGTACTGGGCCGATGCCTCTCGAATGCTGCCACACAGGATAGAATGTGAGACGATGTATGACACTTGAAATGCTGCCACCGGCCTGACCAGCCTCCTGCGCCTCATTCAAATGCTCCTGATGGACCACGAGGGGCTGTGGGCAGCGCGGCTGCTAGGCAACATCTCATGCTCTCACACCGCACCTTGACGACACTGTGGCGATTCTGGTGCCTTGGTGCAGAAGCAGGTGCAACATCACACCTGGCGACTGGGGTTTAGGGTCTGAGGTTTAGGGTATGGGGTTCAGGTTTGGCGTTGTTCGGAGTCACAGTTTGGAGCAATTCCTTGGAACCTGAGGCAATACTCAAGAACTTAGCCAGACCCTCTGCAAAACATCGACACCCAAACTCACAACCCGAGTGTCCCACAGAGTCCTAACTCCTATCATCCCTTAGCCCCACACCCAGAAACCGCAACCATAAACCCTAAAACCCACAAACTCTAAACCCTAAGCCCTAAAACCTTATAGCCCTAAACCCTACATCCTTAAGCTGAAGTAAGCCTAGGCCTTCCCTACATAGCGAGCTCAAGAAGCTCGAAAACGTGGGGTTCAGTGTTGAGGTTTTGAAGCCTTGAAGTATAAATGCCAACCCTGTAGAAACCTTCAAGCAAAACAAAACATACAAACAAACTTCGACAACCTCTGAAACACCAGAAAACCCAGTAAATAGCCAAACCAAAACCCAGAAGCCACGGCCAAAAAAACACTCCGCCTGAAGGGATCCCAGATAGAGCTGGTAACTTAGAGGATCCGAAGGAGTTAGGGTTTACTTGGAGGATGATGGGACTTAGTAACTGAGGTTATTATTAAGTTAACTATACTTGTAACTACTTTATAACCCCAATTAAGGTACGTATACCCTTGCTTACTAAGTCCCATGATCCTCCCAAGTAGAACCTAATCCCTAAACCTATAGATCCCTTTAAGGAACCCTATAGATCCCTTTAAGAAGCCCAATAAGGAACCTTACTTACTAAAGGGTTTTGGACCGGTCCTCTGGGCTCAGTTTGTTGGACCAGGACAGGCTGCCGCCTTTGGGTTTAGGGTTTAGGGTTTAGGGTTTACCACAGGGTCCAAGTATCATTCTGGTATATACTTATAGGGCAGCTTGGGGGTCTAAGTATGTACCATGATGATACTTGGACCCTTTGGGTTTGTGCTTTTTTCAAAGGAGTTTGCAGTCATATAGCCTTAATAGTTAGAACGGGGTTTTGGGGGCTCAGTATACTACAGCTATAATGAAGAACCATCAAAAAAGTGCAGGTAATTATTCAGGCCCCTTTAATGCTTGTTTGTCTCCAAAGGAGTTGCAATACCTGTTCAGAACTTACAGGGTTTCTGTGATGTTTTTAAGAGGCGCTTCTTGGGGTTTGAAAGGCCTATGCAGTGGACTTGATAATTAGAACTCAAGCTTCGGGTGTTATAATGGTGACTATCTGGGTTGTAGTTCAAGGGCTCCCACAAGTCTTTACGAAAGGATAATACTCTGAATAATGGTTCTTGAGCAGCATCAGATGGTCCTGCTTAGGGTTCGTGTAGTCTGTCAACATATGGCTGGTTGTCAAAATTATGGTCCCTGTTTGGGTCCTTGTTACAATACGGCACTTAATATTTAGGGTACCCAAAAAGGGGCCATGATTTTGACAACTACACATATGGCTGACTTTCGACAAACAACTTCAGATTCGAAAAACAGGGAAGAAGCAAGGAACAAGTGGCACCAATACATGAAATCCTTTGCCACTGGTAAAATCAAACAACATTCTGCAAGAAACTCAGAATGCAACCGACAGTAACAAACGACATGCGGATGACCCCGCGCTCAATTTACCAGATAAGTAACAAGGACAGGTGACCTTGTTTGAGAGGAGGAACAACGTACCTGCTCACTGTGGCTCAACGATGTCTGTCCCTAAGCCACAAAGATCCGCACATTAAAGTCTAAACGTTTTTCCAACCTAAAGCTCCATGCCAGATAATATACACTGGACTTTGAAGTAACCAGGGAGAAAAAACTATAGACTTTTATTTCATAATGGCTCTTTTAAGGAACAGGTACCAAAAACAAGTATTCAAGTATGCTACTCCAAACCCAGGTACAATAAAGCCGTAAAGTAATCCGTCTAGCAACCCCTTCAAGGCCAAACAGACGAAAATGGTACATGGAGCCTCAGGCCCTTCGGGCAGCGGCACTCTCTCCAAGTAACCGTAGAAAACCATATGGGGGGTTGCCAAAATTATGGTCCCTTTTTGGGTACCTTAAATACTAGGTGCCGTATTCTAATAGGGACCCAAAAAGGAACCATAGTTTTGACAACCACCCATATAGAAACCTCATGTTAAGCCCTCGCAGGAAACTTGACAGAAACCTTCAACAACCAAATAACAAACCCAAGACAGAAAACAAGCCAAACCCTAAAGCCCAAACCGTATAACTCCTCCCTAAACCCTAAACCCTAAAGCCCAAACCGTAACTCCTAAACAAAACAGCCGTCGAAAGGTTCTCGCGCCTGCGCTTCCTTTGCTAACATGGGCGACCCCAAGGCTTTGGGAATCCTTGGGTCGCTTTGGCTTTCAGAGATCAAAGCTTGAAGGTTTAGGTTTTAGGGTTGAGGGTTTAGGGTTTGGGGTTGAAGGTTTAGGGTTGAGGGTTTAGGGTTTAGGGTTGGGGGTTTAGGCTTTAGGGTTGAGGGTTTGAGGGAGTAGGGTTCAGGGGTTTTGGGCTTAGGGTCTATAGGGTTTGGTTAGGCCAGGGCTCAGGGCTCGGGGGAGCAAGATTTAGGGTTCAGACATGAGGGCTTGAGGGTTTAGGGCTCGTATTCATTGGAATGAGGGCTCCTACAGTTATATGATAGAGGGCTCTATGAGGGTTGCGAAAGGGGCTTCTTGGAGGGCTTTCGGGTTTGAGGTTAGTTATTGTACAGTAATTTGTAGAGACTATATAAGGAAGCTTCAAGGTTGAGGGTTTAGAGGTTTGAGGCTCAGGGTGAGGAGGTTTAGGGAGTAGGGTTGAGGGAGTTCCGGGAGCTGGCCAAACGACTGTTTTGGTCAGTGTCTGAAGTCTGTTCCTTTCGCGTTTGAGCCATCCGGGCATGCGGGCTGAGGGGTGTAGCTGGCTCTTCAATGCTTGAGTCTAGTTCGGTGCTTGAGGGTGGAGGACTACAGGCTGTAGAGTTTTACAATTTATGGCTGACCGGTTTAGGGTTTAGGGGGAAGTTGTCGGGCCTTGCGAGCTAGTAAAGGTTCCTGGCTTTCCAGCATTAGTTTCCGGCGGAAGGGCTCGACTCGCGATAGTGTCCAACTAGGGTGCGCAGGGCGATAAGATGCGCTTTGTCATAGGGTAGCGACATTTACAATCGTTAAAGGGTTCTTACAGTGCTTCCATGAGCAAAAAATGCTTGATCGTGTTTCCATACTGCTGTCACCATTTGCGGCAAGTACGAGGTGAGCTACTACTGGGACTTCCAGATTGCTACTCCCCTCAGGTTACCTGCAACTTAAGCAGGGAACTCCACAAGTTCAACCCAACCTCAACACTGGAACTTTGAAGATTAAGCCCAACACCGAGAATCTCTCGACTGCAATGCACAAAATTTCAATCTAAGCACCGGGACCACAGATTCTGAGATACCAAACATAAACCTATCCCCTTATGCCTGCGTATATTAGAAATGTACTACATACCAAGGCCATGCAGTGTATTGCAAACCCCAATCCTGCTAAAGCCACCACAAAACTGCGTACACAAATTGGAGGACCTGAATATACCGAAGGCCTAAATCTTGAACCCTACATCCTAAACTAACCAGTGGTTTTGGGGTTCCCTGGGCTCCGTAGCTCCTCATTCATTAGGGATTATCATCATCCCTGGCTCCTTAGCTCCTCCAAGATCAAAGGTTAGTAAACCCTTAGGCTTAATGGAGACGAGTCGCCGGGCTCAGGTGTGACCCTGCATGTGACCCTGCGGGAACCTCAGAGTCTTCTTCTTGCGTAAGATCATAAACCCTAAGCCTTAAACATTCAGGGTTTGGGGCCCATGCGAAATGCAGCAGTTCTATGAACTGGTTGATAGGATTCTTAAAGTTTTTCGTGGGCCTAGGACTTTCTCTTTGGGGTTTGCAATTTTAGGATTCAGAGGCTCTGGCCTCAGGGTTTTGCGTTTTTGCAAGACTGCCTCGGGTTCCTTCAAGTTTTCTGCAATAGATGTTTGCTGTTTTATCTCATGGATTGTTATACTGCAAAAACGGACAAAGGAGAGATTTAGGTTGAAGTTTAGGATTGTGCGGAGCAGGGATTTTAAGCAATTGTGGTAGGTTCTACAAGGCTTGCTCAGGCATGGTGCTGCTGCAGTACTTTAGAGAGAGAGGTGGTTAGATGGTTTTTGGGATCCCTTATCCGAAAATAGAGGCTCAACCATAGGACCTTTGCAATAATGATCATCTGGGTCCCACATGGACTTTAGGGACAACTCTGTAGAAGCCCTTCTCAAGCCTTCATCATCTAAACAACCCTAAGCCCTGAACCCCAGACCCTAAAGCCCTAAACCCAAACCCGAATCAGCACTGGGAGCAGAGCTGCAGCGCCCAAGAGCTGAGCACCCGAAGTGACCTGCAGTGCTTCACCGGTCGAAATGGGTGGTTCTCAAAATTAGGGTCCTTGGGTTTAGGGTTTAGGGTTTTTTAGGCTGGGTGCCCTAAATAAGAGGTGCCGTACTATCATAGGGACCCTTTTAAAAAGGGACCCTAGTTTTGACAACCACTGAAATGACCCAAGGATTAAATACTTGAGGGGTGTCAGGGTTTAGGTTTGGATTCTTTAATTTAGGGTTTGGGGGTCCCCAAAGCCAAGCACTGTAGGGATACTTGGGATTAGGATAGTACGAAAGGCACATAGGCTCTTAAGGTGTGTTTTCAGTTTCGGTTATAGCAAGGCATCCGAATTCTGTTAGGCTTTTAGTTGCGGTTTGGGCTGCGGGGTTGCAAACTGAAAACTCAGATCTTTAGGGATTAATTGGGTTTACAGTTTAGGTGGGCTTCTTGTCCCGTTGGTCAGGAGTCCGAACACACGGACTGTCTTCGACGGAACCTCCTGCCGTAACCTCCCAATATTCGGGTCATCAAGTTGGTAGAGTCGTGTGGTCTAGCGTTTAGGGTTTGGGGTGGAGGGCCCCGTTGTCTTGGATTTCACTGCGAGGACTCAAGCAACCAACTGAAAATCTTCATAACCACATATCATCCTCTCCCATCCAGCAAAAGCCTACAAGACCGAACCACAAATTTGGCACAACGCTCTCACATCCTACCGTCTCACCTCAAAAACTCCCGCAAAACTTTAGACGAGACTGCCTGTACACTCTCCAGTGTGCCAATACATTGTCAGGTCCCTGTCATAAAAAGCAAGTGGAAAAGAGTGTATAATATGTGGCGATGCCAAATGCGGAGGCCGAACACAGTATCCGCATAATGCCACACAAAATGTGCACTCATCCATGTTCCTACACAGCCACATATGCACAGACCTAAATCGCTACTACAAACCTCAAAATCAGAAGCTCTAAACCCGAGGCCCGAAGCTCCACTGCCAATCCAGGGGCGGAATTCACGGAGGTTTTGCTATTTCTCCGTGATCCGATCTCCTGCGGAGTTTTGCTCGAAGCCCCGGCACGACCTCTAGGGCACCAAGAGGGCCAACCCTAATTCCCGAATCCGGCTTTGCATAGTGTTGGAAGACATTTTCCGAGGGTTTGGCATAGTCTTATGCGCCCGAAATTCCCTAGACCTGGTACCTTAAACCCTAATACCTTCAAACACCTCAACCCCTACACCCTCACTCTGAAACCTACAGCCCACACCCGCGGACCCTCCAGGGCAACAAAACAGGTCCTGGTCAATGATCCTGAACCCTGAAGAAACTAATGCAGGAACCGTTTTGATTCCAGTCGGGTCGTGGAGATAGGAACCTAAACCGAAGAGTAACCTAGGAATAAAAATGGTACCCTTTTTGGTGTAAAAGGGTGTTAGAATGGAACCTCAACCCTAAACAAGGGAATAGGGGCATACTCTGGGTCCTAGGAACTCTTGAATACTAAAGGTGCTTGGAGTCTGGGATCTACAAGGGTACTTGCCTTGCTGGTTGAGGATAAGCTCCACCTGCAGATACCTGCATCCTTACACCCTGAAGCAAACACAAGTAGTAAGCCATGATGACAGGGTATGGTATAGCGCTTAAGCTTACACGCCCTGAAGAACCCGAGCAGAATCCTTTCCGGCAGCCTCAGAGGAATCCAAAACCCAAACCCTAAGCTTAGGCCATCAACCTTCATCTGCCCTAATCCCTAAACCCCAAACTTTGGTTTAGGGTTTAGGGTTTAGGGTGCTAAACTTCACCCTAAGGGTCCATGTACCCATATAGAGATACATGGGCCTCAAAGTACCCTTTTTTTTAGGGACTACATTAAGGCCAATGTATATACTATATGAGTACATGGACCCCTAGGGTAAACTTAAGCCCTAAACCTTGACCTATACTGAACTTAGAACCCTAGCAAAACTTATAATTTTTGCTGTTTCTTAGAGATTATAATAACCAAAAATTAAAAATTATTTCTAAGTACCCCTAAGTGACGCTTACCGACTCCTGTGGGTTCAGCCGGTTGGAACCGGTCGCGCTGTTGCCTGGAAGTGAGGAAGTCACCTACGGACTTAAGGTTTACATCTGGATGCCACAGGGTTATATTTTAGGGTTAGGGTTTAGAGTTTTGGGCTTAGGGTTTGGGGTTTAGGGATTTTGAGTATATACCTTCAACTATCATAACCTACGGCTTTTGGTAGGTTATTGTTGCTTGTTATAAACTCTCATATAACATGTACTGTATAGGGGCCCTACCAAGTACCTAGACCCTCCTTCTACCCTCTGTTCGACCCTAAATACCTACTATTCGGGACCATGTACCCCTATTTGAATGTACACGGAGGGTCCTGGTAGGTTCTGGTGCCGAAAAAAAAGCACATAAGCAAAACTAGGATAGTGATATCCCAGAAAAAAAACCCTTATAATGAAGCCCAATAAGGTCGGGATATCACCATCAACTGCTTATGTGCCTTTTTGGGTCCCTACTAGACCTAAGAGTAACCTAGGAATAAAAAGGGTGCCCTTTTTGGTTTAAAGGGGGTTATAAGGGAACCTAAACCCTAAAAAAGGGGAATAAGGGTCTACTCTGGGTCCTAGCCTAAGGTTCTGGTAGTGCAAGGAACCTTTAGTCTGCGAATACTACTGTTGATGGCATAAACCCTGCATCCCTAAACCCTAAACCCTAAACCCCTAAACCCTAAAAGTTTAGGGTTTAGGGTTTAGGGGTTTAGGGGTTTAGGGTTTAGGGATTACCTTAAGAACCCTAAACTACTGAGATTATGGTGTATTCCTTACTATGGGCAATGCAGGATTATATCATCAACCGTACCGGCTGCAAGGTGTTTGGATGGTGGCGGAACCTACCTGGACCCCAAAAGTGTGTAGAATTATAGCATTTTATAGGTATTGGGCCATTACTTTACCTACTTTGGGGGGGTTTAGGTACACTCGAAATCCTAAATTCAAAGCCTTCATTTTCCTAAACTCTGAGCTGAATTCCTACTTAAAAATAAAAGGTTCGTGGGACTTAGTAACTGGGCTTGTAGGGCAAGGTAACTATCAATATAGCTACTTCTGACCACACGTAAGGTACTTATAACCTTACTTCCTAAGTCCCGTGATCCTCCAAGTAAACTTGACGACCTCTTCTCTGTTCTAACCCTAAAACCTATACCCTAAAACCGTCCATCAACATGAATCCCGGCGACGACTGCTCATACGAGGCCCACCCAGGCCCCGATCGTCATCATCCATCTTGTGGGCCCACGCCTTGTAATTTAGGGGGCTGCGGGGTCTACTTGGAGGATCATGGGACTTAGTAAGTAAGGTTATCTGCACCTTAATTGGGGTTATAAGTATAGTAACCTAGTTATAACCCTATTACTAAGTCTCATGATCCTTTAAGTAGGGATCCTGTAAGAGGGCTTCGGTGCAATCTCAGGAGTTTCAGGCTTTCTGGGCTTAGTCTCCGGGACAGGATACGTGGACTAGGATTTTGGTGCGCCTTGTACAAACGAACACCGCAAAAAAGGCAGAGGGTCAACATATGCAACCAGAAGGGAACCGGGCCCCACGACTTTCTCACTTACCCATGGCTTTCTCAACATAACTCCATAGGGGAGTTTGCGAAAATAGGGGATCCTAACATAGTACCCCAAATAGTAGGATCCTTATTATAAGGATCCCTAAATAAGGTACCACTAATTAGGAAACTCCCATATGGGTATGTGTGGACGGTCTGGGTAACAGTGGGTGTATGAAGAAGCCGCGCTTTGTGGGGTTTGTCAGGGCGCTGGGTTTTCTGTGGTTTATCGGCATGTCCCGGAGGCTCTTGGACTCACATGTTGACGCTTTGTTTAAGGCTGCACCCTAAGCCCTAAGCTAACCCCGAAAGCTCTAAACCCCACGCCCTAACATCACGAAAATCTGAGGCCTTCGGCTATCTGGAGCCTTATGTCTTGCTTTTTACCGGGGGTCGGCACTTGGGGTTCAGAGGGCTTCGATATGTATATATATATATATATTTATATATTTATACATATTTATTCACTAGTGGATTTGTTTTGTATAGGGCTTCTGGGTGTAGGGTTTCAGGGACTTGGGTTTGGGGCATCCGGGCTGCAGAATTAAAGGCCGTAAGTCCCAAGTAAAAGCCTGGCAGGTCCTTTTGACCCTATAAACCCCAGGGGTTCAGGGGTTTAGGGTTTAGGGTGGCCTGCCCCCTATGGAGCCTAAAACGCGCGTCATAAACTCGAGACCGAAAAAGAACCCGTAGGGTCCATGTAGCTAAGTAGTATATACTTTTGGCCCGATGTACCTATATAAAGAATAGTTTAACGCCGAAGTATATGCTATTCGGGCACATGGACCCTTAGGGTAAACTGCACAAAGAAGGACAATCCCAGAGTCCGAACATCCTGAAAAATCCGAAAAGCCCTCTGCCCTAACGAAACCATAGGGCTCCAGTTACCTAATAAGTAGGTTACTAGGGGCACATAAAGTAAAAGCCAGAAAGTTGGAATATGGTTATACTAAACCCTTTAAAGTAAATTATGAGGTATCCTACCCTGAAACCATATTCCATCTTTCTGGCTTTTACTTTGAATCGGTTTGTGCAATAGGCGCGTTGGCACTCGGACAGAAGGCCTCACGAAAGCAGAAACACTAAGGTACATAGTAGATGGTTAGTGACCTACTACTTGGGTACGGCCCCCACTCAGCAATAGTTGAATAGTATTCGTCATATAGATATATTAGGACCTTAATAGTAGCCCTATTATAGACTCTTACTGTAAGGGGGCAGTACCAAACCTACTACCTAGGTAACTGGAGCCCCAGGCAAGCCCTAAACCCTAACTAAACTGAACCTTCTCTCGCTCAGTCCCAAGCCCTGAACCTGGCGAGTAAACCCGATAAGCCAACAATCATAGGGATCCTTAGGGGTGTAGGGGGGAGGGGTGTAGGGGACTATATTTCCTTAAAAGTAGGCCTTATTAGTCCTCATTATGGGCCTTAAGGCCCCCTAACCCCCCTCCCCCTACACCCCTAAGGATCCCTATAAAACAAACTACGAATTCCGGTCCCTAGGCCCTACAAACCCTGGCCCCCTGTTGACCTGAGCCCAAAGCCCTACGACTAGCACATGTAAGTAAAAAGCATGCCTCGTGTTTCAGCAGCCCTGAGCACTAAACCTTACGCGATGGAAGCCCTATGCCGCATCAACCCCGCATCCTGTAATATCCTGATAGGCCTTGAAGTCTATTGAGTTCTAAACCGTCAGTCTTGCAGCAGTCCATGTAGCTGTAGTGCATATCCCTGAGCCCCAAAGTTACAAACCACATCATACCTATCATGTATGTGCATATATATATATATATATATATATATATGTATCACGTCGTACCATAGCACAGGTAACATAGCCTAGCATAACATAGCATAGCATAGCATATCATATATACATATATATATATAGATACATATACCTTTTAAGACACATGTGTACATTCGTGTTGTTGTCGTTGTTGTTGTCTGTCTCTCTGACTCTCTGTCTGTCTCTCCGTACCAGACTGAGTTGTAGTTTAGGGGCCCTTAAAAGTATTTATGGAAAGGTACCTGTATAGAAACCGAAAAGGGAAACTGGGTCCTTAAAAGTACTTATGGAAAGGTACCTGTGTAGACACCGCAAAGGGGAAACTAAAAAGTCACTCAAACTGCCACCTGGGTGGTTAGACAACGGCACCTTATATTTAGGGTACCCAAAAAGGGACCCTAATTTTGACAACCACTCACCTAGAAGAACCATGTCAAGGCCGAGGGCTACAGAGGATACCCCTCTACTTTAGGGGCCTAACTAACTAGAGAAGGGTTCCTTTATGTAAAGGGATCTATCATGGGGTTCTATAATGTAGGGGCCTAAATAGCTTGAATTTTTTCATTATAATTACTGAGGCCCCTATTATAGTACTCCCTCAGCTACGCAAGAACCCTGGGGATCTACTCCGACAAGATAGGATTATCCAGAGCAAGAAAACAGAATTGCAACAATGGCTCCAGGGGTGAGGGATTTGGGCTTCGGTTAGGGTTTAGGGTGTTGGCAGGGTCTAGGGGTTTAGGGATGCTGCCGAGGGGCCGCATCGGGGAAGGGGCCCCCGCGAGGTACGTCGTGGAAGGGACCACAGGGAGGCGGTTCCTCCAGGGGTTTACGGCACATCGGGTTCAGGGATTTAGGGTTCCAGGAGGGTTTTAGGGTTGAAGGTTGTAGTGTTTATAGGCTATTGTCCTGGAGCTCCAACATAACCCAAAGCAGGTACTACTTAATTCTACGGAGTGTAAACCCCGAAGTGGGTACTATGTGTATACTTGACATGGAGCTTTAGCGTATGCACCAAATTCAAAAAAGGGTTGTGCATATAATGTTGGGCACATCATAAGGCAGTGGCAGAATACTGGACAACAATACAACGTACTCCGAATTGTGAAGAAATCCCTACATGTTGTTTGCGGGAGATTTCGGTATGAAGGGTTGTTGGGCCCTGATTCCCGTTAGTTTCCCGCTTTCCTCGGACGACACTGCCATACTTCCGCCAGGGTCGAGGCTGGGGCAAAGGGTTAAGGGTTCAGGTTTGAGTGTTTACGGCTTAGCGCTTATAGGCTCTCATGTTCAAGGTCTAGGTTTATAGAGTTTAGAGACTTCAACCACAAAACAATGCGAGTCTGCATCCCGTCCGAACCAAATCACTCATCCCCTCCGGTCCTGTCGGAAACTCAACATTTGCGAGGCGGTTGTACTGCTGGTGCCCGAATCGTAAAAGGCTCCGTTGCCTGCATCCTGGGCGAAGTTGGCTTGTTTTGATTTGGGAATCGGGTTGTGGCGGATATGGGCAGGTGGACGGGATGCTAGCTCCATAAAGCCTAAAACCTTAGTGTTGGCTGCAGCTTAGGGTGTGGTGTTGGGGTGTCAGAGTTGAAGGCTTCGGCATCATCACCATCCCCGTCATCAGTAGCAGCAGCAAGAATCACATGTAGTAGTAGAAAGTAAACCTGACACAGCTACTGAGATCTGTGGGCATTTTCTTGGCAAAGCTGACACCACCGAATGAACCAAATGCCCAAACCCTAAGAGCCTGAACCTTCAGACGACTATGTAGCCTGAGTGTTCGCAATTAACCCCTAAACCCCAAACCCCTATCCACTCAAAGCCCTAACTTCCTTTAGACCATGGACCTTACACCTCTACGCTTCCTTTAAATCCTAGAACCCCAAACCCCTAAACTTATGACCCCAAGCCCTATAATCATGAACCCCATAGGCCGTAAACCCTAATAAACCCAAAACATCAGCCCCTAATCCTACAAGGCGTAAACCCTTACAAACCACCGAACTTCGGCTTCTCCCTTCCGAGCGTCCCTGAGTGAGTAGGATGCCACAGAGACCGAAGCATTGCTAGATCTTCGGGAAGAAGTTCGGACCTGCTTTGTGGGATCCTTAAGGGGAAGAGGCTTCAGGGGGGTACAGAATGCCATGATCCCGTATTCCCCCTTAAAGGAAACCCTACTTGGAGGGGCAGGGGACTTAGTAAGTAGGTTATCAGTAGAGTTATAAGTATCCTAAATGGAGTTACCCCAATAATAACCCTGAACCCTAACCGATAACCTACTTATAACCTACTTACTAAGTCCCCTGCCCCTCCAAGTAGAGAGCCCTTAAGGGAGCCCCTAGGGCTCCCTTGTAAGGTTCCCTACGTAGTAAGTACCCTCTGAAGGGTCCATGTAGCCAAACAGTATATACTTGGGCCCAATGTACCTATATAGGCGTTAACAGAGGCCGTACAGCCCTTCATAGTGGATAGCTTCGGAGTGTAGCACCGAGGGCAGTGTGCATGCCTCTGGTAGGATGCATGTGAGCCTTCAAGTACGGACGGTAAGGCTCGGAATCGATTCACACTTTCACTTCCCGGCAGCTACGCAGTCCTGCAAGCCCCTTGCAGAAGCGCGTTACCGGAGCCTTCTATAGCGCCTCCGAACCTGACATCTGCAATTGAAACCCAATGCATACCTAGACCCTCCTTCTACCCTCTTTTTTGGACCCTAAATACCAACTATTCGGGACCCTATACCCCTGTTTGAGGGTACAAGGAGGGTGGGTCCTGCTATTTTGAAAGAAAGACCACTGCTTTCCCCCCAAACTCTACCTATAGTGTCCATTGTGGTTCCTTTTTTTGGTTAACCAAGGATTAGGATCTAATAGAGTTTTTTGGTTAAATAATGGAGACTATAGGTACACCCTAAACCCTGAACTGAAAGCCCTGTTGTCGGCCTCTCCAACTGCACGCGAGGCCGAGGAGTTCCGCGAGGACGCGCGGGAGCCAAGCCCACGCTGGGCCAGGGAGGGCAGCAACTGTTTTGGGGTGGGTTTAAGGTTTAGGGGTGACAGTTTACAGTGTGCAGTTTAGGGATTAAGGTTTAGGGTTTAATTAGGGTGTTTGTGCAAAACAACAGGGTGCATAGCTCATGGGTTTATGGGGTGGACCTTATGGGCGTTAGCCTTTGCTTCGAGGCTTCCCTCAGTATCTCTTGTGATCTGTTGCAGTAATTATTAAATTTTCCCAGGCGAGCTCATGACGGTCGTGCAGTCTGCTGATGTTGGCTTGGCCGAAGTAGAACCCCAAACCCTGATCCCTAGACCCAGAACCCCAAACTTTACGTCACACCTCGTCTTGCAGGATGACGGGAGGTTCCACGAACTTGAAGTCTTCCACGCCTTGCTTCATGGAGCGAAAGGGGGAAGGGGTTTAAGTTTTAGGCCCAGGGCGTATAGGGATTCTATCAGGATCTATACGATGATTGGGGACTTAAGATGTCAGCAAATCTTGCGCTAACCTACACAGGGGATTAAGGAACAGTGACCTCTACATGTGAGTAACTAGGCTTCAAGACTCTTGAAAGGCAGGAAATTAAGCTTTATAGGCGTAAGCTTGTTTAAAGATCTCTTCCTTCTGGCCCGAAAAGTATCCAGAACATCTGTTCAAACGATTTGTAAGTTGGATTGTGTTCCACCATCTAGACCCTCCCTCTACCCTTTATTAGACCCTAACTGCCCCTTATTCGGGACCATATACCCCTATTTGAGGGTACAAGGAGGGTCCTCGTGTGATCCACCATCCATCCAATCACAATACCTCGGTCGGGACCTGTCCCTCAGAGCACCCCGCCAGCGCGTGTGCGCCCCCAAACCATAAACTCTAAACTCTACACCCTACGCCCTAAAAGCCCTAAAAGCCCTAAAAGCCCTAAACGCCCTAAACCCTGAAAGCCCTGAAACCTAAGCCTTTAGGGTTTTGGGTTAATAGTTTAGGGTTACCGGCTGACAGTTTTGGGTTTAGGAATTATAGGTTCGTTCTACCATGTGTCAGATGGCAGACAAATGTTCGGCTGCATGGCGTACGCCTTGGCTGCCCACTCGCTTGCTGCTATAAAGAAGCAAATGATCTGGGGTTTAGGTTTAAGATGGTTTGAGGGTTGAGGGCTTGGGGACTATAGGGTTAGGATTGGGGCTTTCGGGTGTAGGGATATTAACGTATATATACATACAAATAAAAATACGAATAGATATATATATATATATATATATATACATATTATAAGGGATTATGGATGAAGGCCAGGGATTTCGGGCTTAGGGCTGAAAGTAAAAGAGATCGAGATAAGGTTTCGTACATATCGGACCAAAGCAATCAACTTTCATTGCTCACAACGCTTGTCCTGCAAACCGACACAAGCCACCACAGCTCTCCTATCCACGGAGTCCCAGATTTGTAAGAACTACACTCATAAACCCTCCACCTACCCTCAACCTGAATCCTAACCCCCTGCCACCCTCACACCAAACAAACAAATAGAGCCGAATTCAACCGCAAACCCAGTGCCCCGACACACACTTTCCCAACACCATCCGAAACACCGAACTTAACAAACAGAAACACGGCGAGATAACCCTAAACCATCCTAAACCCAAAACAACAAACGGCATGCACAGCGAGATCCGGGCGTGAAGGGTTTCGCTTCAGAGCGCCCGTCCAGAAAGCTGCTCCGACCATCGCCACGGCCTGAAATGATGCATTTTGGGGCTTAGAGTTTAAGTTTTAGGGTTTAGGTTTTAAGGTTCTAGGTTTGAGGATTCTTCCGGCCTCCATAGCAATTACTTACCTGAAAGTACCACTGTACATCCTAAAACCCTAAACCCACATGAAAGCAAGGACCTGATGTGACCTGATTCCTGGATGCTCCGGACCCTGGCAACACATAGCAATTTAGTGTCTAGGGCCTAATATAGGAACCTTAAAAATCAGAGCAGGGTTTCAAGGCGTTCCTCATTATTGTAACGATAGTAGAATAAATCTCAAAACCCTGTTCTACTTATTGAGGCCCCTACAGTAGGGTCAAAGGTGAAGCTCCAACTTTCGCCCCTACAACCTTAACTCGACCCAACCCCCCCAGGCCCAACTTAGACTCTTTGCAGGCCTCGACCCCTACGGTCCCGAAAAGAGCCTTCTGACCCCGTACATTATGAACACCCTAAACCGTCAACGCTAAACTCTAGAACCCTAGAGCCCTTTAACCCCAAACCCTGAACCATAAACTCTGCAACCCTAGAACTCTTTAAGCCCAAACCCTATAAACCCTGAACCCTAAACCCTCGACTCTAGAACCCTGAACCCTTTAACCCCAAACCCTAAACCCTGATCTTTTTTCAAACGACCCTAGACCGAGGCAAGGCGCCAAAAGGCAGAGCGCAGAAGCCGAAACCACCACGATGACGGTCATGCTGACGCCAGCGGGCTCAGGTCCTCCTTTGAGGGCTCGGGGCCTTGGGGTTTGAGGGTTTAAGGGTTTAGGGTGTAGGGGTTTAAGGGTTTAGGGGTTAAGGGTTTAAGGACATGGGGTTTAGGGTTTAGGGTTTAAGGGTTCAGGCCTTCAGTTCGTGTTTATGGCTGAGGGTATAGGGATTAGGGCCCTTCACATTAACAGTCCAGAGTTTCTCAGCACTTGCCAAGGGGTCTTGTGCAAGTTGTTTGAAGACAGTTCGGTTCTAGACTCTGTAGTAAAATGGTGGGGGAGGCCCGAGATTCAAAACCGTACCTGGGTCCTACTACACCTACTAAGATTGTGCGTGTGGCCTAAGTTAGGATATAGATGTTAGTAACCCCCTTATAACTTCGCTGTAACCCCTTTACATCTTTGCCATCCATGTAGTAAGCCCCTACTAACTTGGGGGAAGTTAGTAGAAGGTTGGTTGGAAGAAATAGAAGTTACTAACTTAAGTTAACTTTTTAGCTAACTTATGTTAACTTATGTTAACTTATGTTAACTTATTCTAACTTTTTTTGTTTTATGTCGGTTTTGTGTTAAATGGTTTTCGTTGTTTGTCACTGATGCTGTTCTTTTCTGTGCTCCACAAAGATAAGAGCAGATGCTATGGGCTTAGGGGGTTCAGGTGTTTAGGACCACCACCATCACCAGCACCAGCACCAGCATCAGGGTTGTAGGGTTTAGGGGGTATAGGGTACGGTGTGGAGTGTAGAAACACTATCACCACAGCATTCACCAACACCAACACCACCGCCGCAGCCACCACCACAACAACAACAGCAGCAACAACAGCAACCACCACGACAACAACAGCACCACCACCAACAGCAACAACAACAGCATGTCTAGGACGTTAGGAACACCACTAGCGCATGTTTAGAGTTCAGGGTTTAGGGGCTTGGGTTTGGGGTGTAGGGCTTGGGAAACCTTCGCCAGCACCACCGCCAGCACCAGCACCAGCCCCAGCGCTAGCGGAAGTGCCAGCACCAGCACCAGCACCCACCAGCACTAGCACCAGCACCAGCACCTAGCACCAGCACCAGCACCACCAGCACCAGCAGCACCAGCACCACCGACACCACCATCAGCAACCCCCACCGCCCGCGCCACCACCGCCAGCACCACCCCCGAGTTCATAAAGCCAGGAACCAGGCCGGATAAGTTCAGAAAAAGTTCACATTTCCAGGCCTGAAAAGTTCATAAAAAGTTCATATTTCGTGGCCTGAAAAGTTCATAAAAAGTTCATATTTCGAGGCCCGAAAAGTTCATAAAAAGTTCATATTTCCAGGCCGGAAAAGTTCATAAAAAGTTCATATTTCCAGGCCGGAAAAAGTTCATATTTTTTGTGTTTTATTGGTATTTACAATGAATCCAAGCCTGAAAAGTTCATATTTCGAGGCCTGAAAAATTCATAAAAAATTCATATTTCGAGGCTTGAAAAGTTCATAAAAAGTTCATATTTCCAGGCCTGAAAAGTTCATAAAAAGTTCATATTTCCAGGCCTGAAAAGTTCATAAAAAGTTCATATTTCCAGGCCGGAAAAGTGCAAAGAGTTCATTTCCAGGCCTCGGAATTGGAGCCGGCTAGCACTCCACCCCCTGATTCGCCCCACCACCACCACACCACCCCACCACCTCACCACCACCCCACCACCCCACACCACCCCCACCACCCCACCACCCCCCACCACCCCACCACTCCCACACCACCACCCCACCCCAGCCCGCCCTTACACCCCACCACCCACCCCAACCCACCACACCCTACCGCCCCACCACCCCACTACCCGGTGCGTGGGGTGGTGGTTGGTGATGTGGGTGGTGGGTGGTGGATGGTGGGTGGGTGGGTGGGTGGGTGGTGGTGGGTGGTGGGTGGTGGGTGGTGGGTGGGTGGCGGGTGGTGGGTGGTGGGTGGTGGGCGGTGGGTGGTGGGTGGTGGGTGGCGTGGGTGGCGTGGGTGGCGTGGGTGGCGTGGGTGGCGTGGGTGGCGTGGGTGGCGTGGGTGGTGTGGGTGGCGTGGGTGGCGTGGGTGGTGGCTGGTGCAGCGCCGAAAATTTCTATGGATGCACTAATCAGCTGCGCGCAAAGTTCTGCTGGGAATGGATTTGCCGCATTTTGGTGTGGGTGGTGGCTGGTGGTTGGTGGGTGGTTGGTGGTGGCTGGCGATGGCCACCGCCTCACCACCCGCTACCACCACCCACGACCCCGCCACCCCATCGTTGTTTCTTTTAACCCACAAGTTCACTTTTGCTAACTTATGTTAACTTTCTTTAACTTATGCTAACTTTTTATCTAACATACCTAACCCCCTAGTAACATCTATATCTTAACTTAAGCCAAACGCACAATCTTAGTACCTTTTGAGGAATGATTAAGGACACGCACCCCTAAACAGAAAACCCAGAAAGCCCGAAACACAGAGGCTCTTGACCCATCTATTGGCCCTAGCTTCCGGAAAAGACCGTAAGCCCCAAACCAGAACCTTAAACCTAAACCTGAGACCCTACACCCCGAACACCCAAAAGGGTATACCCTGACACCCTAAACCCTAAGCCAGTCTCGGCAACACAAAACCTTGAAAGGGTCTGAAGTACTTGCATGGGGTGTAAATTTTCAGGCTCAGGAGGGCTTCTACATTGGGCATGATTTTTACAGTTTGCGTACATATCCCTGGTAGAAAAGCCAGTCTTAGCATTACACACGCTACGCACGATGTGCAATGTGCGACCCTGCTGCTCAATGCAGCCCCCCGGAGAATTCGTGCTTACCTAGAGTCTCCATTGTAGTTCCTTTTTGGGGTTACATTCTGGGATCCTAACTATAGAATTGGTCAGGAACTACAATGCAGACTGTAGGTACGATCATGGCCTGCATTCCGGGAGCAGTGCAAGGCCTCCCTGTATCGATTCCTGTTTGGTTCGCCGCGGTTTCGATACCAATACTTTAGAAGCTGCCCCCACCCTGTAATAGTGGTATAATAGGAATATATTGGGGCCCTAACATAATCCTTATAGTCACTATTACAGGGTGGGGGCAGCTTCTAACCAATACTGCAACAGCCCAGAAGCCCCCAAACAAAACCCTAAAACCCTTAAACCGACCATAGTTCCCTGAGGCCCCTGAACCCTCTACCAACACGAAAAACAGAAAGCACCCCAAAACACCCAAACATCCTCAAATGAACGCATGGAGGACTCCTTCATCAGGAGCTGCAGTCGATAATGGTCTGTCCTGTCCCGGCTGTCTGTCGTTTGTGAGTTTCGCTGTTTAAAATTCTGATACATTTTAGGGGAGTCTTCGGTTTTGGGGTTAAGGGTCTTACCCGGATCCTCAAACACTTATGTACCTCCTTCAGGCGTTCAGGACCTATTGCAACGGACTCCTGGTAAGGAACCCTCATAAGATAGGTTATTCAGGGGCCAGGTAGGGTTTACGAAGAAACATGTTGGGTTCTAGGGTTTGCGTGTCAAATTCCTCGCTTGTGGGGGGGCGGGGTTCGATTTGGGGCATGGAAATAGGCAACTTGACATAAGGTTAGGGTGTACTGGGCTCTTGTTTCTACTGTAAATGAACTACAACTGAAGTTAATTTACGCTGGGATCGAATGCAAATAAGATGCTGATCTGGCTTCTTCTTTACGATAACTTGATTGAATTCCACAACGAATCTAGAGCCCAGTTTCAGGGCTCGGTTCTCATGGTCCTTTGGCATGTTCGATTGCAAACCCAGTCGGGGCAGGAAGCTTTTGCGTCAAAGTTTTCACAAATCTCAAACATCCGTAAACGCTGACCACTCCCGCCCTCTCGAATTCCAAAATCACAAAACAGAGATCCAAACAATATAACAGGTCAAAGCACCTAAATACAAGAAGGACAAGAACACATCAACAAAAGCGACATGACAACTGAATACACTGAGGACGCTCCAAACACCCCTAAATGGCCTATTGGCTGCAACCGCATGCAGCGGGGCATGCATGATATCAGCTGCTTCCGACTCCGTGAAAAGACGCAGGCGACTGAAAGACCCCTGAACCCTAGCCCTAAACCACCCCCAAAAAAAATAAAACACCACCAAATTTCACGCAATACCGAAGTCGTCAGAACTTCAACCTCAACCCGCAACCCTGAGTAGAACCCCTGCGCCCTAAACCCTCAACCTGAGGAAGCTCGAAATTATCAGTCCGGCAGGATGAAACCGCCATCCACGGCCGGAGGCTCGATACCCTGATCGTGGCACGCATCTATCATTATATTGTGCATCCAACTTGTCGAGTATCATGGGGAATTAAAGGTTAACCTTTTTGATTATATAGGGGTTATATAGGGATTATACTGTCCCAAAATGGTTAAAGGCTACCTACTCTACTACTAGGACATTTTCGAGCTCAGAGATGTGCAGTGGCTAAGGTTTAGGGTTGAAGGTTACCATTTGGGATTCTGGGTTGAGGGCAGGCAGATAGACGGCAAGGGAGGTATCGTCTTTAGTGTTCTTTGTTACATTGCTTGTTGTGTGACTGGTTTGTGTGATTGTTGCTTGCTTCGCATGTGTGTGTGCGCGTTGTGGATGCTTGGGCTTTGTGTGTTGCCGGGTCCTGGATGTAATATGTGTGGTTCCGTACTCTATGCTAAGAGCGTAAAGACGGTTAGTCTGGCATTCGTCCATCCGTGCATCCATGCATTCGGACAGGTACCAAACTTCGACCTTGTCGAACTGGAGCATGAGCAAGTCTGCAAATCATATCCCAGCGATAGCGCAAGATCCCTTAATTAAGGAATATATCTTGAGTTATAGCACATCCCTAAATTGATTTGAGGGCCTTAGTAACGGAATATACCTCGGATATCTACTAGGACCCCGATCCATAATATGATATCAATATAAGATATATTCCATACATCAATAATATGGGATATTGGAAGGTCTGGGCAGCCTCATCCCCAAGCTGGTCTTTGACTTGGGCCGTCACCTTGCATGCCACGTGCTTAAAGGATCATGGGACTTAGTAACTAGGGTCATTTTTAGGGTAACTATACTTATAACCCCGAATCAGGTGCTTATAACCTTGCTTACTCAGTCTCATGATCCTCCAAGTGTGGATCCCTTCGGCTCACAAGCGCCCATTTCGTCTTGTTCATCCCTTTGACGACGGTCACGGCTGAATGGAGATACAGCGACGCCTTCGGCTGCCTTTCCGACTCGTGAGTGAGGCTTGGCTTTGCATGCTTTCGCGTCAAGTGGGAATTCGGGAGCAGCAAACATGTAAGGTTTGTGACGCAATCGCACCCCTTCCGGCTGCATATATCCAAATCGTAAACCCGGACAGAACCAGTCAGAAAGAACCGAACTGGTTGCAGGGAACGAAAAGACAGTACGCATGCTGCACCGGATATGGCAAGCTTGCTTTGATCACAGCCCCATGGTTCCTTATTTGCGCCTAACTTAGACACGAATCTAATCCTCCACCCTCTAAGCCTACATACCTGTAGCCATAAAACCCTTGCATTTTGGCGTAATTCTGGTGGTTTCTGCACATAACTCCTGAAATAGCTCGGTTTTCGGCCGCTACAGGTAGAGTTGAGGTTTTGAGCAGTACTGAAATTATCCTTGTCCAGAAACCCTTGATATGCTATATACTACTGTGCATGTGACTTCTCGTCATAACCTTATAACTATTTGTACCAATCACCTTCAGTATGCAAGCAGATATTTGCATGTGCCCCTCTGTATGTGAGCGTAGTCCTCGGAGACAGAAACTGCATCCCGAAAACCCCTAAATCCCTAAAGGCCCTGAACCACTACGTACTCAAATCCCCTAGACCCTGATCCCCCCAAAGTAGGTAAGACTAGATCCTTTTAAGCCCAAGAAGAGCAAATATAGAATGTCTCGAAGCCCTAGCTAGCTAATCAAATCCTCAAAGGCCCTGGACCCCTAATCAAATCCCCTAAACCCTAACCCCTTCAGGGCTGCACCCCGTCACCGCCCAGCTCGCCGATGGGAGTCTTCTGGACGGGGTCTCCACGCTCCTCTAGGAGGGGCTTTTAAAGCCTTTGAAAAATATTAGTAGGCAAGATCCTCGTAAGCCCAATAAGAGAAAATACAAAATGCCCCAAAGCCCTACCTAGTCCTCTTTGCATTGAGCTAAAGATTGCCTTCAAAGCTTAGCTGTTCTCTTAGGCCCCCCTACCAACTACCCTGTTAAATACCCTGTATACACCCACTCTTTGCTTGCATTGAGCTTGGATTGCCTTCAAGGTTTAGGGTTTCGGGTTTAGGATTCACGACTCGTTATTGAGTTGCCTTCTACGGACTACAAGTTGACAGACTAAACGGGCACTCGGCTCTTGCAGGGTCCCGGTACCCTATATACATATGAAATGCTGCCGTTCTTGTAGCTAGTCATGAATCTTGTGGTAGCCGCAAAGGCTCAAGGAGGCTGGCGTCAAGCATCCCTTTCGCGAGGAAAGCTATGTAACCGTAAACAGGTTTAGGATTTGCGGATTAAATTAAAGGTGCACCAAAGGTCCTGTGTACTCAAAAGCAGCCGTTGCGCCAAAATAACGCGCAAGGCGGTGATCTTTGGAGCCGTGGGGCTAGGGTCGTGCTGAAGCAAGATCATGTCGTGCTACCAGCCCAGAACCTTAAAATGAACTTGCAACACTTAATGTAGGAACCTGGTTAAGAAACCTTGGGCCTGTTTTTGGGTTCCCTAAATGAATCCTACTATTTTGGGGGTTATAGGCCCAGGGTTTCTTAATCAGGATCCTACAATATAACTATTATATTCAACCATCGACTCCCAATGCCTCTACACTAACCCCTTAAAACATCTTAAAACCTGAGCTCTTAGACCCTAAGCTCTAAGCCCCAAGCCCGAAAACCTTCCGGAAAACTTCAGGTGCTTCCGAAAACCCAAGCTGTGCGGTCCGTCGTTCGCGTCGGGGGCTGCGTGACGATAATCTGGGCTTGGGATTTAGGGTTTAGGGTTTAGGGTTTAGGGTTTAGGGAATGTGGGAGTTTCCGAAAATAGGGGACCCTTAGGGTTCCTTCAAAGGGTACCATATGGGCTCCTTTAAAGGATCTATAGGGTTCGACTCAGGGTTCAGGGTTTAGAGTTCCCGACTATTAGGGGTACCTCTCCTCTTCTGGGGGTCCTTATGATAAGGATCCTACTATTATTTAGGCTACTATGTTGAGGTCCCTCATTTTCGGAAACTCCCATATATAGGAATAGGGTGGAGGATGAAAAGAGGACCTTCCCCTACCCTAAAGCAAGAGAGCCCGAATACCTCATTTGATAGCTTGGTCTTCGGGGCGCGACCTCTTGTTCATATACATCCTTACCCCAAGGGACCAAAGGACCCAAGAATTAGGTACTCGGTTTTAGGATAGTAGATATGTAGGTTGGGATTTTGGAGAGTATATGATTATTGGGTACTTGGACCCTTGGGGTTAGAGCCTTGGGGACGGGATTTTTAGGCATGCCTCAACCGACCGAGTAAGGATTTACACCAGGATCCTGCAACAAATCCTATTTTTCGAACATAGGAATTAACACTGAACCCTGCATCCTAGACCCTAAACGGTATACCCGATAGACCCTTAAACCCCCCCCAACAAAAACCCTAAATTCTAGACGCCGAAACCCTACCCATAGGGCCCCAAAGTAGTTCCTTTTTGGGGCTCATATATGGAATCCTAGAAGGTAATCCCCAAAAAAGGAACTACTTTGGGGCCTCTGGGTAGACCCGAAAGTGATACCTGTGCAGAAGAGGCGCTCCCCCAGGCGCGCCAGTGGTAATGGAGGGCTGTGGGCCCTGCGGCGTAGGGCTTATAGGGCTCAGGGGGTTTATGGCTTTTAGGGTTCAGGGGTTACGGCTATAGGGTTTAGGGGTTACGGCTATAGGGTTTAGGGGTTACGGCTTTTGGGGTTTAGGGTTTGGGGTATTTAGGTTTTTGGCGTGTTTAGGATTCGTGGTTTTAGGGCTTAGGGTGTAGGATTTAGAGCATGTAAGCATTTTAGTTGGGAGCTTCTTGTTCATAAGCTGTACACGGATCGACTGCCCAGGGTTTGAGGAGTTGCTGGGTGTAAGGAGCGTGATTAAACTAAGGATCCTGTTATGTTGGGGTGTGTCTTGGGTCCACTGTCTCAATACCTAGGATACTCAGTAACCTAAGAATAAAAGGCCTCTCTTTTTGGTATTGGGTAACTTTATAAGGAACCTAGGACTACAAAAAGGGAATAAGGGTACTACTGGGCATCCTAGAAGTATAGTACAGCCATTTAAGCACCTACATGGCCCCGCTTCAGATGGTGAGATGGCATGACTAGATTACAACTTCTGGCACATACCCTGGGGCTCTCAGTAGCTGAACAGAGGTACTATCTGAACCCTACAACACCTACCTTCTTCCGAACCCTTACTAAGGCTTCCTTACATAGGTACTTCAGCAGGCAGATGTTTAAGGCTCCTGGTATTTATTGACTCTAAAGCCCAAAGTGGTACTACATAGCCAAAAACTTGAACCCCTACACCCTCCTAAACTTAGTACCTCCTGCATATGGAAGCTTGGTGCCTGCACGATTTTCTAAGTTTGGGAGGTCGGTTGGGGGGCTGAGCCTGAATCCTTAAACCCACAAGAAAACCTACATGTTCAGTGTTATTCTGATTTCCTGCCATATTTCTAGTCTTTTCGCATTTAGGGTGCTTTTGAGGGGCTCTTCATTCTTATGCACATGCGGGTATGGTCTTTTGGGGGTTAAGATAAGCCCTACACCCTAGCAGGAGTTCCACGGATATCCCGCGATTTTAACAGCAGGACTAGCAGACGCCTCAACATATGCCTTCATGTTTGTGTGCTTTCTGGGTTCCTCAGATGATCTCATCAGACAGCTCCGACTGCTTGGTAGGCACGGCCAAGCCTCGTGCCTCTGACAGCCACTGTTCAGCCAAGCCTGTGCCGCAGCAGGCTGGTGCAGCCGCCTTGGTGCATCCTTCGGAGCTCTCCGTGTCTGTGGCTCTACTTGGAGGATCATGGGACTTAGTAAGTAAGGTTATAAGAACCTTAATTGGGGGTTATACGTATACTTACCTGAATTATAACCCTAGTTACTAAGTCCCATGATCCTTTAAGTATCTCCTGCGAGACCATGTAGATGCCCGTCTCATAGTCACAGACGCTGCGATCCATACTAGCTGCTTTGCTAGATGTGCGTGGCATGCCTCAGGCGAGTGCTTGATTGCGTAGACTCTTTTCTAACTATGCCTCGCCCTGCCACGCCGCCCCTCGCAGCAGGGCTAGCAACGGGCGGTCATGGGCTGCCACATGTTCACCAGAGGCAAGGGGCTGAAGACAAACACAGCCATAGCATCGGAATTGGTTGGGGATCAACCAAGGGGCCTGAGTATATAAGTAGAATGGGGTCTGGGGTGTTGGGGTATACAGTATGCTGTGATAGGAGTAAATAAGGACGTTGACGGGATACTCTTGCAAAATAAATAGTCAGACCTCCATATATAGACCCTATAAGCCTCAGAATCGAATCCTTGGCCATGATTGTACTCTATGACGTCAACCCGTAGCCAAACCCTACACCCTAATCCCAGAACTCTCCCCCTAAGGTTCATTCCTTTGCGCGCCTTGTAGATCAGACCCAGCTCTTCAGCCTTCGCAGCCTGCAGTCAGCTCCCCTCCCCTCCCCTCCCCTCCCGTGCTGCAGAGTTTAGGGTTTAAGGGTTTAGGGTGTAGGGTTTGAGGGCTTATGATTTAGGGTTTAAGGGTTCGGGGGTTTAAAGTTTAAGGGTTAACCATACTTGGAGGATCATGGGATTTAGTAAGTACAGTAGGGTTATAAGTACCTTAATTGGGGTTATAAGTATAGATACCCTAAACCTAACCCTAGCTACTAAGTCCCGTGATCCTTTAACAATGTGAACTATACAGTATCCGAAAGCCAGTAACCTACGGTGTAGGTTGAAGGCTTCCAGTGTCATGTAGAACTCTCCTAGACTAATACACACGCCTTGTCTTTGAGATCCCACCAAGTCTACTCCCTGTAGTATGTAAAGGAGGTGTATTAATCAGGAGTCTACAATGGGGCCCTAACCTGCAAACCCTTGCACCCAAAGCAAGGTTTATAGATTCTGATGGGTATACGCAGTCCGAAAGCATCCGAACACAAAGTTCACAAAGTTCTCAATGCGGCAGGACAGGCTGCACCGAAGTCCGTCACAAACACCGCCGCATTCTCAACAATCTCCAGCAGATTCTGTGACTGCATGACCTCTACGCCTGCCTCGCTGTTATCAGTCTCCACAACTCCAAACATGATCCGAGAAGAAGACGCTGGAGGAAGCAACCCTCCTGGTCATGCACGGACTTGGCCCGGCGATATCACCAAATGCAGCAAGGGGCCGTATGTGGGGTTGGTTACGGGGATACTCGCACTGCAGAAGCCCAATAGCCTATCAAGTAGGTTTTCACAATTTGAAGACCGGAGCTACCAGAGAGTGTCAAGACCCCAAACCCCCAAATCCCGAAACTGTTTCGAGGGTGTTTAAGGAACCATAACCCAACACAAGGGTGATTAGAAAGGCAACACGTAGGGTCAATTTCAGGATGTCGGGCTTGGGGCGTTGGCCTTAAAAAGACCCGAAAGCCCAAACCTGATCGATGGGGGTTCAGCTGATAGGGGCTTTGAGTTGTAGAGCTTATGCACATGGGGCTGCAAAGGGCTTCAGAGTTCCTGGCGCAACCACTAAGATGAGAACGACGACACTGCGACAACAACAACGACCACGACCAGGACCACGACTGCTGCAACTGCGACTCGGATGAGGACGACGACTACCCGCCTCCTCTGCAGAATGCTGCCGCTACTATCGCTATACTGCTGTCCGCTGCTACCACTGCCACTGTCCCTGTCCGGCAAATGGAAGTTATTGCTTGGAGCGGCGAGCCACTGCTCAAAGCAACCCGAAACTTAGCTCGCACCCAACGACAAAAGACAAAAACCTTTGGTTGCGCCTGTTCTGGTGTAAGGCAAGCGCACATGCAGTTCGCCTGCACTTCGAGACTCTCGTTCGATACGACCCGGGGTACTGAGTTCAGGATTCATAAGACTCAGGGACACCGTTCAAACACCGGGGGGGGGGCCTTTGCTTGGCGTCCTCCAATAAGGTGCGGTTTGCTTGGCGTCCTCCAATAAGGATGCGGTTAACATGCTAATCATTAGTTAATATTGCGAAACGAGACATAACAGCCCACTTTTCTGAAACTCCCCTACCTAATTTAAGCCTCTCGTTACCTTGAGGATTCATCAGGAACTGAGGGGCGCTGAGAGAACTGTGCTGCCGCAGAGACCGCGAATATCTCACCCGACAGCCCTCAACACGAGAGCCCTCATAAACCCGCTGCCAAAGCCTAGCCACTAAACCCCTAAACCCCTAAACACCTTAAACCCGACAACCCTCACCCCCAACCTTGCGCTCCAAACCTTCAACTAGGAAGCCGAACACTGTGAAATCTGAAAACGGCAGCCCTCACACCCAAATGGCTTAGACAACCTAAACCGAAAGCACTTAGACTCCATATGGGGGTTTCCGAAAATGGGGGATGCGAATCTAGTATTTCAAATAGTAGGACACTTATTGTAAGGACCCCAAAATAAGGTACCCCGAATTTTTGGAAACTCCCATATGGTTTAGGGTTTCGGGCTTTGGGCTCCAGGTCGAAAAACTTCCCAGCTCAAAAACGGGCTCCATCTGCAGTCAAGGGGTTAGGGCTTCGGGGTTTAGGGTGTTTTTGTTTTTTAAGGGCCCTGTTCCAATCTGCACTCCGCGTCTTGAAAGCCCGTTTGGGCGGGGGGTTTTAAGTACTAGGGTTTGGAGTTTAGGGTTGACGGTTTCGGATCCTCCTGGTCAAGTACCACGTACATCCCATCGAGGTGCATATGGGTAGTTGTCAAAATTAGGGTCCCTTTTTGGACCCTTAATTTTTTTAGGGTGCCCATAAAGTTACCTTAATTTTGACAACCACCCATATTATATAAGAAGGGGGCCCTCGTAATGGGAGTCCTAACTCAAAGCTAAACGTCTGCAACCGCAAGACTTGATGCCCAATAGACCCGTGATGGAGCCCTTATAGAATCCTAGCAATCCTTTGTAAGACCCTCTTGAGCCTTTAAAAAAACTAAAACCCCGAAAACCCTCAGCCCCAAGAAACTAACCATCCCCCCACCCCCCCGCCAAGAAAAATAAGGCAAAGCAGCAGAGACCCTGCCTGCGCATAGTACTGACCTCAGTACTTGGAGGATCATGGGACTTCGTAAGCAAGGTTATAAGCACCTTAATTGGGGTTATAAGTATAGTTACCCTAATTATAACCCTAGTTACTAAGTCCCATGATCCTTTAAGTAACCCTAAACCCCCCCTCTTATAGAACCCTTATGGATCCCTTTTAAGGAACCCTTTAAGGAACCCTAGTTACTAAGTCCCATGATCCTTTAAGTAACTGCTAAAGCGCACGGGGTTTCTTTGGAACTGTTGGGTTGAGGCTTTGGGGCTTCTAAGACTCAGGATGGTAGGTTTTAAGGATTTAGTAAAGTGAAGCATAGGGTTTAGGGTTTAGGGTTTAGGGTTTTAGGGTTTAGGGTTTTGGGTTTAGGGTTTTAGGGTTTAGGGTTTAGGGTTTAGGGTTTAGGGGTTTAGGGTTTAGGGTTTAGGGTTTAGGGTTTTAGGGTTTAGGGTTTAGGGTTCAGGGTTTAGGGTTTTAAGGTTTAGGGTTTAGGATTTAGTGCTAAGGGGCTTGCAAAGGTCCGCAGTACGGGGGCTTTATCGAGTTTAATTATGTAGTATAGGGCTTTCTGGGTGTATCCTGTTGAAGTCTCTTCAATAAACACTTTGATGACGTCACACGTGCTGAAAGGTATATCATGATGGAAGCTACAGTTGCACTGCATATGGCAGCCAGTGTACAGTCTAGCGCCGGCAATGAACCTGTATAGGAAACTCCAGAAAGTTGGAATATGGTTTCAGGGTAGGATCCCCTAGAACGGTTAGGACAATCATATTCCAACTTTCTGGCTTGTACCTGTAAGTGGGCTTGAGGAAACCGAGACATGATCCGGATCAAATTTCGGAGGTGGGTGGGTCGGCACGGTCTTGCGGGTTTAAGTAAAGAACGGGTTTCGGGGAATTCAGCTCTGGTTCGAAGTTCGGTACGGAATTGTGACCTAAGGTCAAAACCCTACACTGCAAATCTGCACGCTACTCCCTGCACATTCAGCTGGATGAAGCCCTAAGCTGTTTTGCGCTCACCACTAAAAATCCGAGTTGATTATTCGGGGACGTGCTGTTTTTGCCAGTACAGTATCGTCAACCGCACCGACACGCACACTAACCAACCTCGCAAGGAGCCATATGCACACTGAACAAAAGCCCTATCAAGGTTGGTAGCTGCCCTGAACTTGCTTTGGAGAACCTACTTTATGGTTCGAGAGTTAGGATCCTACAATACTACCTTGATGTAAGCAAAAAAACGTACTACATTGCAGGGTCTACCCTAAACCCAACCCTGAACACCGGAGCCACCAGAAAGCTGCTTTGTTCCATCGTCTGTAGGGTGCTGCACTTTGTCAGCGCCCGGCATTGCTAAACAACGGCCGGGCCAACATCTGACTCGAAGGAGCTGTTGTCGATATCCGCAGGCTTGTTAACTCTCTTCTTCAGCAACCGGGCCCCCAAAACTTCAAACTTCCTACCATAGGGCTAATATGTAAGGCCAAAAAGTTTTAAAGTGCCCATGTTCACTATCTAAGTTAACCGAGGAGATTGAAACACTATGAACTCGAAGCCCCTAGGACTTGGTCAGGGTGTCACGGGAACTCCAGAAAAAGGCAACACACTGAGGATGGTGCTGACAATGGAGCCGAATCAAGGGCATTAAACCCCAAACCTAAGCTACGGTTTCAACACGCTGTAAAACCAAACAAAACCCGGCCAAACCCTGTATAGGTTCTGTCAGCTAAAAAGGAAATAAAACGCTAGGCGAAGGTTTTGGGTTTTTGGGCTGAAGTACCGTGGGTTGGCCAGGGTTTAGAACGTGCTGTTGCGTCGAAAGTCTGCGGCATCAAACCCAAGACCCAAGACGCAACGGCGGAACCGGAATATCGGGAATCTTTGCAAATGGACTTGGGTTTTGAGGCTATATAGCAAGATGACTTTAGTGACTATGCAGGGCCCACATTTCGTACTGATTGCCATGAAACAAGCATGACTCAAAACAACCCAAAGCCCCCAAAAGCCCTAAAACCCCTCAACCCCAAACCCGAAGCCTTCAACTCTCAGCTCTCAAGCCCTATCCGCTTACCCCGGACCCCGACTAGACCCAAGAGTGGCCTAGGAATAAAAAGGGTGCCCTTTTTGGTTTAAAGGGGCTTATAGGGGAACCTGAACCCTCAAAAAAGTGAATAAGGGCCTACTCTGGGTCCTAGCCGATATTAAAGGCCAAGAATTGATATTGACAGCATTCCGCCGGGGTCTCCCGATCCCCAGGCTCACGTGTGGCCGGTGCCGGAGGTTTCAGTTTGGGGTCTTGACTTTATAAGGGCTTAGAGTAGATTCCGGACGACATAAGTAAGCTGAAACTTGAACTACTGTACTTGTTACAACCTACCTTTTCTGTACTGTAGAAAAACCCAAATGCAAAGGGGCCCTTCGAGTAGGGTTTGGTAGTTCAACGAAGAGGCTATACAGATTCAACCACCAAATGTGTCTGGTTGAGGCGTGGTGACCTTGCTGTAGAAGCAATAAACCCCCCTTTCTCTACGAGTGGCTGAATTCCCTGGCCCGAAAAAGATCCATATTTTCAAGGATGGCACGGTTATACGAGCCCCCAAAAGCTAAATGAATCCACCTACTCGGCTTTTGAGTATGAAGAAAGGGATGGACCAAAAGTGTTACATTCGGCTCCTTAAAACTCTGGCACTTGAAGCCCGTGAGGAAAAAACCCTACCTGTAGCCGAAAGGGTCTACCTTCTTAGGGTTCCTTGTTATGGTTTCTATATATAGTTCCTTAAACCCTAAACCCTAAACCCTAAACCCTAAAACCCTAAACCCTAAACCCTAAACCCTAAAACCCTAAAACCCTAAACCCTAAACCCTAAACCCTAAAACCCTAAACCCTAAACCCTAAACCGTCTTTTCGGCTACAGGTAGACCCTACAACCCGGAAGCCTCTAATCGACCAAAGCCCTCAGGCTCCATGCGCACATGTTATATCCACTTAGCCTCAAAAGGGGTTCCTATACAGGTACTTGTAAGGCCAGAGTATATATATATATATATATGGTCCATATATATATATATATATATATATATGTAGATCTATATATATATATATATAATATACATTTATATCTGTGTATTTATTTAGGTACATGGAACGCTTGGGAAGAGCTCCAAGGCGTACACGGCTTTCTAGACAGCCAAAAGTTGAACTCTGGAGGCAAACGTAAAGCCCCATCTTCAGCTATCAAGACCTGCATTCCCCGACGGCCCAGAAGCATCAACTAATAAAATAATCAATTATTATGACCTTTGCATCAGGGTTAAAAATGAGAACCTGCCAAATAAGTAGGTTCCGTTAGTTAAGGTGGGTCTGAAGCCCTCGAACCAGTCGTAAATCCTAGACTACTGCCTCAACCCTGAACCAATAGTCTTAAACGCTAAACCCTGAACCAATAGTCTTAAACGTCCAAGAAAACGGTAATTATGTACCCTACACCAAACTCTAAACCATGAACCAAGCGCAAATCCTAAATTCCTAATCCTAAATGCCTAACTGGCAACTTGGGTCGTGAAAGAGATCAAGTCGGCGGCCTTTCTGGGAGCCCGAGATCGGCAGACCCCCTCTTCAGAACGAACAAAATCGATTCGGGAGTTCCTTTGAGACGGGTGGGTTCCTTGCGGGGGTTCTTAAAGTTTTGTGGGTCCACTTTGGAGTTTGTTGGGACTTGTGGGTCCCTCTTGGGGGGTTCTTAAATGCTGAGTTCACAAGCCCCAGATATGTGCACTTTCAGCTCTGTGGGGGATCATCTTATCTCCAAGGGCGTTAGGTGCACTCATTCAACTACTAAGGGTTTAGGTTTTAGGGCTTAGGGTTCGGGGCTTGGGGTAGAGTTTAGGGCTTAGGGTTTAGGGCTTGGGATTTAATGCCCTTTTCACTTGTCCCGTTTCCTAGAGGAACTAAAGCTTAACCTTTGGGTTTATACAGGTTCTGATCCCCCAGAAAGGCTACAGGCTACCTTCTCTACTGCTGAGACTTCCTGTGGAGTCCTTAAGGATCTGAGCTTAGGTTCCCTCATTGTCTGAAACTCCCATTTCGCCACTTCGAGGAACGGGGGACCTTGTGTGTACGTGGGCTTTGTGCCCTCGTACATCGCAGCCAAGGCACTAAACTCTCCCTAGACCTGCTTGCAAGGGTTTGGGGTTTAGGGTGCAAGGCCTCCAGACAATAGACTCAAAGCACACGCCACTTTTCAGCTAACGCCGCATCTACTTTTCACTACCGTAACTGTAAACGCCTCAGGCCCTAAACCCCATACCCCTGAACAAAAACACTGTAATCATCAACCCCCAGGCCTCGAACCCTCAACCGTGAATGCACTAAGACCCCAACAGCGGCTCAGCAAGACCCTGAAACCTGGATTCTGGAGTCCTTCCCCTAAACCCTAAACCTGTAACAGAACCCTTTAAAGAACTCTTGACGGAAACCCACTGTACTTGCCTCACCCAAACCCTAAACCCTAGATCTAAACCCTAGGCCATTAAAGGCAAAGATCCGAAATCCGAAGTCCGACACCCATAACAAAAAAAAACTTCCGTAAGATCCTGAACGTCAACATCTTACCAGGACCCACCAGTGGCCCTTGAATGGAGCCGATACGGTCCTTCATAGTGGGTATTTAAAGTACATTGGGAGGGTAGTTGGGGGTTTCAGTGGTGGGGTATTTGCTCAACTGCTCCGGCCTATACGCTTGACCCCCTGTGGAAACCCTTTATTTATTTCAAGAACCCGTAGCCCTAAAACCGAAGCTCCGGTATGCGCCCAGCTGGGTTTAGGCTTTGCGGGTTCAGGGTTTAGCTGCTCAATCCCCCGGTCCTCCAAGCAAGGAGACCAGGCAGGTTGCTCAAGCAGCCCCGGTTGTGTGAGCAGCAGCAGACAGATACTAGTTGGCTTAAGGTTCCTAGGATTCTAGGGGCATAGGGTATATGGCTTAAGGTTTCTAGGATACTAA